CGATCGTCGGAGAATTTTTAAAATTAGCATGTTATCGAAATTCAAATTTATTGTGATTTTGTCCATGTTTGGTGGAGATTAAAATCAATTTTTTAGTAAATTTTGATAAAAGTTAAACAGTTATGGATTCCATGAAATATGTTATTAAAATTAATTGTTAACTTTAATTTAGATTAAAATTTAGATTTCAATCGATATCAAACATGACTTTATAAAAAAAAAAACTTAAAAGTTGTGGGGTCACTTGACCCCGGACCCCCCGGGTCCGCCCCTGTATACATTACAAATTATGCCTATGCATTAAAAAGATTGATTTCATCACTATAATAGAATGTTCTTACCATGTGTGAAATTTTTAATCGAACTCTATTCGGTTTGATTCCCACCCGAATCCATCCCTACAAGATAATTATCAAACGGCCATCTCTATTATGTTACATATATTTCGGGGCATTTTCCTGCTCTCCTTTAAAATTTGTCTTTTTTTTCAATGAAATGTTTACTAAACATGCATTTATGATAGTATGCAATTATTGAAACACCAACCTACCACAAAGAAGGTAAAATTAAAAAGGAGGGCTATTGTAATTTATGAAAAATTGGAGTTATTAGATTTTTTCAAAAGAAAAACAAAAGAATCTTAAATATCGAGAGTATTGATGGGCAGGTGTTAGACACGTGTAAAAAACGAATATGATGAAGAATGAGAGAGAGAGAGAAAGAGAGGTGGAACATACTTCATTTTCAAGAGGAATAGAAAGAGAGTAGGCACGATAAAAGGAGAGTGTGTATCTTACATAAGAAAAAAAGAAGAGAAGAACAAGGAAAAACACAATCGACTGTCAATTTTGCTGTTGGTGTACAAATTTTGAAAGAAGGCATGGACAATTAAATCATGAAAAAATAGAACTATACAAAGTTGAGATTTTTGGTTGAACATAATTTTGATTTCATTTGAAAATTTATTTTTAGGGTTTTTATCTAAATCAAACAGGTGAAGGACACGTAGTAGTTCTTAATTTATTATACTGTATTTTATTCTTGGTTAGTAAATTTTACATTATGGCATAATCTCGGAGATAATTTTACCATAAGACTATAATGAATGTTGTATATCGAGTATCAAATCGCTTTTCTCGCATTTAGTTAGCATCGATTCATCCACCATCAACATATGACGGATTCATGGAAGTAATTCGAGATTGTCATCTCAAGGTTGCATGACTACGGTTCAATAAGCCAATTTATTATCAAAATTCATCCCTATGTACTCATCAAACGAGATCGTTATGATAATTAAAAATAACTTAGTTGAAAAACGACGTCTTCTATGATTAGCTTGTGCAATATTCATGTTTCATAGACAACTGAAAATAGTTGTTGCCTCTATATTAGTACGTAGAGGAGGACATTTTAACTGGAATCGAACATTTCAAATCGGAATCGAACTATCTTGAACTACTCTTGGTTCTCGAATCGAAATCAAGGGTACCTGACTTTGAAACAAATTTTGTGCTTTTTAAAAGTTTTTTAATTTTTACAATTTATTTATTTTGGCTCAATGTCTCGACTCGGCAAGCACCAAGTTTACAAGTTCAAATATTAATTACCTTAATCAATCAATTTATTTATTTGAATAATTGAATCATATAACTCGTTCGTAGCTGCTTCTGATTTCACTCCACACGTTGTCCACCCCACAATCCCTTCTCAAGGCATCGCACGCAGAGCCTTAATAGAAATTGAATGCTATATTATGATAAATACTAGATGTTATACGATGACATATTTGCAATGGATTTAGAAAATGTAAAAATATGTATTATCTACTTGTGATTTTTTTTTTTAAAGGGTGGTGAATGATTTCATTACAAAATACTCAAAGTGTGATGAATGGTTACAGATATTAAAATATTCGGATCAATCCACTCGACGCTCAGAACTATTAATTCGTGCAAATATTAGGTATTATCATATACCTTTTTAATAGTTTGAAATTATTATAAATCCATGTCAACATCCCCAGAGGACAAGGGGAATCTGTTTGACCCTATTGGCCAATCAAATTTTAAATGTTCATTATTAAATATTCCAACCTTTGTGTGAACGAAAAAACCTCCTCCATTTCGACGTAGTCTCCTTCCTACTCAATGTTGTCGCCTTCACACCAAACCAAATAATGTTTAATATATTTTGTACACTCTTTTTTAAAAGTTTGAATTATAAGAATATCTCCAATTGTCCAATTTAGATTGCATTAAAAATTTGTCACATAAGTAAAATAGATAGCGTTCGCAAAAATTCTTGTGCAGTACAATTTAAGTGGCGCGTAACTCTATCTAGTTGGCATAGTAAAGGTCGTCTAGATGTAGAAACCATTAGGTTAGATGATGAAGGAGTCTTATCTCTCTCTTTCTCCCTCCTAATTCCTATTTTCTCTCGTCTTATTATTTTTTCCCTTTCCTATTAATATACATGTTAGAGAAAATTTTGAGTTATAGCCTATGTTTGGCTAATATTTTCAAACTATTTTATAATCAATCAAATCACTTTTTATAACACAGTTTGTCAGACCCACATGAAATTCCCATTTATCCATCATTCATTTCTGTCTATTGTATAATTAAATCGTTTATAAACACTTCTAAAACATACTTTATAGTTAGAATCCATTAGCGATGAATTCAAACTTGCTTCGCTAAGTTTACAAATAAGTATAAGAAGTAGACTACAAATGAATGTGTAGTCAAAAAATAGGTAAAAAATGTGGATATGATGGATTTGATCAACTTATAAGCAATTATAAACTTTGGCATTTGCACTTAGCGATGTATTATTAGACATCATTGCGACATAAATCGTAAGCGTAGATCGCATTTCACACTGGAGATGCTCTTAAGAGATGGGATTTTGCTAGAAAAGGTTGGAAGGAAAAGAGGTAAACTAAAACTAGCACGACTTGGTTTTGTAATTGCTAAAAAATTGTAGTTGTTCTTTTTCATTTTTTAAAAAATATATAGTTATTTTGGATTTGAATAGGGGAAAAAGATTTCTAGTAAATCTTTCTTTTTATTTTTTTACTTTTAAGAATAAGTTAAGAGCATGTTTGGCTAAGCTTAGAAGTTTTAAAATAAGTAAATAATTTTTCTATTAATCAAAGTTGATGGCGTGAAAGTAACTTATTTTTTATTTAAGATAACTAACTTTTATTACTTAAAAGTAGGAATTAAGGAATTCAAAAATAAGTAATATATTGAAACGCGTTAAAAAAAAAAATTACCTAATTAGTTACTTGTAGATTATTTCTATCGATCGTCGTTTGCAGAAACTCGTAATGCATGATGCATACATTACCTACTAATCCCTACTTCTTATAAAATCCTAATATTTCTCCAATATGATTGGTGGAGCCGTGGAGGGTGATGGCATAACAATATTCCATTAAAAATAAAAATAAAAATCATTATAATTTCTCAAGTTCTTGCATCCTAGTACAATATAAATATTTTTTTCCCTGGTATTTTGGGCATCCTAGATGGCTATGCTAGAGTATAGCTAGCCTTCTATAAGTGGACTGCCACACATATAAAAGTCAATATTTTAGATTATTTAAGAGTGTGATCATTCTGTGGTATTAGGATTTGATCGAAAAAGAAGGCATAACCCATATGAAGCTTTTCCAATTGGCCATTCTTCTGCATAAGTTCTGCTTCACATTGTAAAATATACTAGTAATTTATATGATTGTACTCTCTTTTCTTTTCACTCAATTCTATCTTATTGTACCATAGGAATACGAGGTTCTTTCGTGTACTTATAGGTATTATTGTCACTGCTTTTATTCACGTCTCATTTCTTTCCTGGGGTTATTGGAGTTTGAATTTCATACTATTATCTAATGATGCAGATTAGCCGCAGTCCAGCCATGAGGGATTTGGAAAACGAGTCGAAGGAGATTGAGAGAGTGGAAAAGGAGGAGCTGCAGGAAGAAGTTGAGGAGGATACAAAAATACTTCAGCCATGGACGAAGCAGATTACAATACGTGCAGTAATTGCAAGCATATTAATTGGATCGATGTTTAGTGTGATAGCGATGAAGCTGAATCTTACAACGGGGATTACTCCAAACCTCAATGTTTCTGCTGCGCTTCTTGCATTCGTGTTTGTTCGAACATGGAAAAAGTTACTTCAGAAGACAGGAATTGTCTCGATTCCTTTCACAAAGCAGGAGAATACTATGATACAAACTTGTGCTGTTGCATGTTACAGTATTGCAGTTGGAGGTTTGAGGCACTTTATTTCACAAATTTTAAGGGAAATTTTTGCTTTTTATTTTTTCATACTAGATTAATTCATTTTACGTTCATGGTAATTTCAGGAGGATTTGGATCTTATCTACTGGGACTGAACAAGAAAACATTTGAGCAGTCTGGTGGCTTTAGTACTGTAGGTAATTCTCCAAGCAGTATCAAGGAACCTGGGCTTGGTTGGATGACTGGCTTCCTCTTCTTAGTTTGTTTTATCGGCCTTTTCGTGTTGATTCCTCTTCGAAAGGTACACGACAAGCTCTCAGTATTACAATCGAATCTTCATAGTTCACAGTAAATTTTTACTTCTTTTATATTTTCACACTGTCTAGTACTATTCAATTCTTGCTAACCTCACCAAATTTTAAGCGCATGGATCTATTTTCGTTGTATGGGGATTTCTTTTCGTATCTTTTGTCGTGTTGTCGTGTACCATTTTTAGCAGAAAATCGAGTTTCTAAATACAGAAAGCTATAGAATATGGAGTATTATATTTTTCAAGCATGCTGTATTTTGATTTTCTTGAATTTGGACCACATTATACTCTGGATTCTATGCATTTTGAGTCAGATTGAAGCAATATTTTTTGCATCCACTGTTAAACTATAACTTTTCAAGTGATTATTTTAAGACTTTTAGAAGTTGTAATTGGTCCTCAGATCTTGATTATCGACTACAAGTTGACCTTTCCAAGTGGGATGGCAACTGCAGTTCTAATCAATGGATTCCATTCCAGAGGTGACAAAATGGCCAAGTAACTATAATTTTTCCTCTCTTATCACTTTTTATTGCATTTTTATCACTTGTTTCTGTGTTAATCAAACGTAAATTTTTATCTATTTACTGTTGTTATTATTATTATTATTTTTTTTTTTTGCGCCACTTTGTAGAAAGCAAGTACGAGGTTTCTTGAAGTGTCTATCGTTCAGTTTTTTCTGGGGTTTTTTCCAGTGGTTTTACAAAGCAAAAGACGATTGTGGGTTTTCACAGTTTCCTACATTTGGACTCAAAGCTTGGAAGCAAACGTATGTCTGTAATCTGCAAAATTTGTACCAGGATCTACAATTTACAGAGGAAATTTTCTTAGTTCTTACAGCCTGCAGATAATGTTTTCTGCAGGTTTTACTTTGATTTTAGCACAACTTACATTGGAACTGGAATGATTTGTTCCCACATTGTAAATTTGTCTTTGCTTCTTGGAGCTGTGCTTTCATATGGCATGATGTGGCCACTCATAGGAAATCTTAAAGGAGAATGGTTTCCAGCAGATCTGCCCGAAAGCAGCATGAAGAGTCTTAATGGTTACAAGGTTTCTTCCTTTCTTTTTGTGTTCTAATCGACCTCAATCTCGTGATTGTTAAAGATTTAGTTTTACATGGTCAACCACATATTTACTAGGAACAAGACTATATTGGTGTTATTTTGTAATTGACCTCGAATGTTATTCCTGGATCCTAATCAAAATGTTGGTTTTTCTACTGTCATTGTTTTCTTGGCAGGTATTTATCTCCATTGCTCTCCTTCTAGGAGATGGACTCTATAATTTCATCAAGATCTTACGTGTCACCCTCATTAATGTTCATGGAAGGTTAAAAAGCAGAAATCCCGACTCAGGTATAACTTAATTATATGAGACAAAGATCAACTTGATTTTGTAGCAGGATTGTGCAGAACCTAATCATAAAATACGCTCACCTCTTTCATTCCCTTCATTATATAGTTCTCACACTCTGACTCTGGTGTGCTTCTATAATCTTCATGTTTGCTTTGCTTGTTTTTTACTTCCGTTTTGTTTATTATTGCTCTCGTCCTACAGCCGTTGCCAGAGTTAGTCAGGACAAGACTCTCAACGATCTCAAACAAGATGAAGTTTTCCTTCGAGAAAGTATTCCCATGTGGGTAGGGGCTGCTGGTTACATAACCTTGGCCCTGATATCAGTGATTGCAATTCCATTCATATTTTCAGAGCTCAAATGGTACTATGTTCTTGTAGCCTACATTTTTGCACCATCTTTAGCCTTCTGCAATGCATATGGAGCTGGTTTAACAGATATAAACATGTCCTACAATTATGGAAAAGTGGGCCTTTTTGTAATCTCTGCAGTGGCTGGGAAAGACCATGGTTTGGTAGCAGGAATGGCAGGTTGTGGGCTAGTCAAGTCCATTATTTCAGTTTCTTGCATTTTAATGCAAGATTTCAAAACAGGCCATTTGACTCTAACATCACCTAAGGCAATGCTATTAAGCCAGACACTTGGGACATTTTTGGGTTGTTTAGTTTCACCCTTAAGTTTCTTGTTATTCTATAAGGCATTTGATATTGGGAACCCTAATGGAGAATACAAGGCCCCATATGCTATAATTTACAGAAACTTGGCAATTCTTGGAGTACAAGGATTTTCTGCTTTGCCAAAGCATTGTTTGCAACTCTGTTATGGGTTTTTCGCATTCGCAGTTGGGATTAATTTGGTTAAAGATTTTACTCCAAAGAGAATTGGAAAATGGATGCCGCTTCCCACAGCAATGGCAGTACCTTTTCTAATTGGAGGGTATTTTGCTATTGATATGTGTGTAGGTACTCTGATTGTGTTTTTGTGGCATAGAATTAACTCTAAGAAGGCAGAGTTGATGGTTCCTGCTGTGGCTTCTGGTTTAATATGTGGGGATGGTCTCTGGATAGTGCCTTCATCTGTTCTTGCTTTGGCAAAAATATACCCCCCAATTTGTATGAAATTCTTGCCTGCCTAGAGGAAAGGAGAGATTAACTCTGTTGTTTCTGCGTAATTCATAGCATCAATAAAGAATGGAATTGAAGGCTATGTTCAATAATATTTTAAGATGTTATCGTCATCGTCATCGTCATCGTCATCGCCATCCCCTACTTCGCACCTCTTACCCCACCAATCGAAGAAGGAAAAAGAAACTAAAAACTAAATTTAAAGACCAGAAAATAAAGGATAAGTTTCCTCGAAAAAGTGAAAGTATACCTCGATTATCCATTTCTAGAAATAAAGGTAGTAGATCTTTTAGCCCTTTTATCATCATTGGAGAACACTTTCGTAGATTGTCCATGGTTCCCAATTATAGCTTCATATGTTGCGAGGATCTAGAAAATTAGTAAATTACAACTCTTTTATACCACGCAATCGGTCTCTTACTAGTTACAAGAAGGCAAGACAACTGAATACAAATGATTACAGTAAAATCTTGATAAATGAATGTTTGATAAATTAATAATCTCACTTAAATAATAAAATTCTTTAATCCCAACTTGAGTGTACTAAATTAATAACCTCGTTAAATGCACAAGTTGATAATTTTTTTGAGATCCTTTAAGGCTCAACAAATATATAAAATATAACTGCTTAAATTCATAAATGTTCATCCTAATACAAGTTAACAAACTTTTATTTTAACAAATTTTTTTTTTTTTGAATTTACCTCTTTTTGAAGCCAATGCATGTACATTAACCTTTGAAGTTAATGCATGTACATTAATGTTTCATCTTTAATGTGTGGACCTTTTTGTGTGATCTAATTTTGAATTTCACCATATTCAATATTTTTTAAAATTTCCTACATATATTATGGTAAAATATAATAAAAGTTATAAACATATAAAATAATCTATAAATTAAAAAATATTCATTTATCGATAAATTAATAATTTTTCTCGATCTCAATATTATTATTTTACAGAGATTTTACTGTATCCTATTATAAACTAAGTTAGTATGACAGGACTTAAAAACGCTACACCTCATTCAAAAGAATAAATACACCACCAGTTTATGAAATGACTAGTATATTAACAAGTTCACCATTGTGCAACACCATGAAGCATTTTACGACTAAACCAATGTTTATGAAGCATTACTTTTTTTGACATTTCAAGTGCTCATTTTTCAATAAAATTAGGGACAGATACAGAATATAGCCATGAAGGCAGAAACCTCTATGAATCGCATTTCATAGCAATACTCAAAATAATTTACAAGTCTACATGAAGCAGTAGTCTTTCACAGTTCATAAAAATTAGAAGGCCTCCCCCAAGAAAATGTTTGACTTGTCCAAGATAATTTACACCAAAATTATCCAGTTATTATACCGGCTAAAACATCAGTCTTACCCCGAGCAAAAATTGTGTAAACTAACCGAATCGCATCAAACCATCCATCCAAATATTCCCACGACTCGGCAATCTGAGATAGAACGAAAAAATAAAAAAAATAAAAAATCAGCAAAACAAGATTTAAAATACTTAGAAAAAGAAACCCAATTCTAGCCACACCCTAGCAGCCAGGGGGAAAAACAAACTTCAAAAGGTTTTTGGGTCTTTGAAGTTTCCTATCCTTCCAAAGATGCAATTTATGGGTTAGTTGTGGTACTCGGCAGAGAACCTCTAAGTGTGATGGAGTAACTTTAAATAAAGTAGAAACATAGATTGGAAAAGCAAAAAGATTTTTTTACCAAGAATATAGGTCCATGAATAGTATCGATGCAGAGGCCTGCACCAGGTGGTAAAGTAAGATCAGCACATGCCGATACAGAGATAATATCTGCAATATCAACTTTAATTGCCGACTTGTTCATCAGAACTGTATCTACTGATTTTGAAGAAAGGCTCTGCGAAATCTGTCTTTGCTCGACTTTGTTCATCTGCGGGAGAAGGATAGACATTGATTACAGTAAGTATACTCTCATAACAACAAATTGAAATCATCGTGATTCACATAAATCAGTAAATCTACAGAAACTAAATTGCTTTTCATTGTGAATCACATGATCAGTAAACCACGTAATGAACTTCCTCAAATCTGAATAAGCTTATTTGATGAAGTATTTCTTTTTAGAAGTGAACAAATGGGAAATACATTTCCTACCACCCAACTTAAACGTAAATGAACTTCCAAGATAGAGAGGGTGAGAGATAATTATCAGAGAAAATTGCACGAGAATCAAGTTTGAATTGTAAAGATTTGGTATGGTCATTGGTCAATACATTATGTACTAGTTATATTCTGCAGATCTAATGATGAGCAAGAGAAATAGTATCATGATATTTAGCTATGAGTGGGTCAAACTAATATGCTTGTGAAATGGTAGAGTTCCTCTTTTATCTTAAAGAATAAACTTTGGCACTTTCACAATGAAAATGTTTGAGAACAAAGGTAAGCTGTGTATTTATCTCATTTCAATGGAAGATGCGAACTTCTACCTGTCGAAGACAATCATGATTTAGCACAAATTGAGAAAGTTTCCAGTCACCATGAGGTGCAATTGGATTTCCCGCAGGTGGTGCAGACAGATATCCAACCTTCAGATAGGGTAGAGGCAGCTGAAAATCCGTAAATCTCGTCAGAATAATTACTTAAAAAATAATTCTGAAAATGATTTTTCTTCAGAAAGAAAATAAATGAAAAGAGAATTATTTGCAGCACCCCAGGATATAACCACTGCATTTACCCCAATAAATCTCGTTTGGCATTTTTTTTTTTTTTTGCAACAGTAAGCAAAAAGGAGATTTTTACATATACCAGTGCAAATGTTGGGGAAAAAAAGACGATTTACTAGAAATATTCAGTCTCCAGACCAAGACAATGAGATATAAATGCAAAGAGTAGCAATTTAGCTCACTCAAATAAAATACTTCCGCTGAGAATTTTGGTGAATCACTGGCCTTAGAAACTAAGACCTAAGGCTGACTGCAGTCATTTCTTTTTGGCCACTATTTCTAAATGATTCTCTGAATCATAATGACCACCATATAACCGAATATTACTGATAAGGTTTGATAAAAAGCTCCAAGTCTCACATCTTTTAATTGAAATAAACCATGAAATTTGGCATATATGGATTATGAAAACTTTGTGAAGACAAAACTTAAAAAGCAAAACTCACCATTGATCGCACGAGCTTCAATGCACTAGTGTACACCTGTAGTACAACGCAGAAATAAGTGATGTATACTTTAGTTCATATTAAAATGTGTATTGTTGGCAATAACTCATTACTTCCAGCTGAACAAGTTAAAAGTGGGGGCAAAAAAAAAAGTTTGCCAGTGGCTTTATTTTGACTTTACTTTTCCTACAATCTTCAGTGTTTTATAGAAAAAGAGAAAATAAGAGTGAAGTAAGGAGAGAGTCAGGCGACAGACTTTATTGATGCAGAGAAATTAATCATTTCCTAATCATAAGAAATAGCATCAACTAGTGAATAGGCTTAGCCATAATCTAAAAGAACAGAGAACTATGATGCACCGACATGGACACGTGTGTCCAACACGATACATGTCGGATACGCCGACACGAGATTTTTAAAAAAAGTACAGACAAGCACATCATCGACACATTGATTAAATTTTTAAAAATTCTTCATTTATATAATATAAATTTAGTTTTATACTTATTATTAATTTTTCATGTTGAAATCTTTTAAATATGAGTATATAATTTTGAATTAACAATATATAATATTTTTAATATAAAAAGAAAAATGATTTCGGTAGAGTGTCCGAGAAGTGTCGGTATCGACTCGTCTCCGACACGGACACGTACCCTAATTGAAGTATCTGTGCTACAGAGACAGAGAACAACAACAAAATAAGACAATAAAATGAAAAGGATGTAATAGAAAATTATTCTGTTTCATGTAATTGGATCTGCATACTGAGTAATTTGGTTTCAGTGCATGTGCAGCTGCAATGTAGATAGCAGACTGGCTGTATAACTCATCGGGGGAGACCTCCTTTGCATTCATGGATCCTCCGGTTCTTGCCATGTCCTCTGCTAATCCATACTACAAGGCACACAAGATAAGAACAATCTGTATTAAATCCTTGATTTGTTCATCCCCCTTTTTATTATGTTTTTAAAGTAATGAAGGACAAAGTAAATGATAAACCAACCAGAACAGTGCCAAGGTTGTATATTGCCCTATGAAAATCGAATTGCAACTGTATTGCAGCACGGAACTGCATTTGAATACAATCAAAGTACATTAAATTAGCAGAGGAAACCATAGTTATGAAACCCAAACCAAACGTTGACCTGATCAGGACACCGGTTCACTGGCCAATCACCATATATAAGTAAAAAACATTCTTTAAATGAAAAGATGTTGATATATATACTATTAAGTTAGAAAGTTAGGCATATCAAAACTTAACAATGCATTGCATAAAAGAAATAGCATACTAACAAAAAGATGGAAAATGATCAAGTACTCTCTCTTTTTATCATTTATTTTTTTGCAAATCAAATCAATGACATATCCTTATTTTTTTCTCTTTTTCCAGGCTCCTTCATATTTTTATAGACATACGAGGTCATTACTTAAAAGTTTCATTGAACCTGTCGATCCTGTGTGTTTTTTAATGACAGTGGAGCAGAAAAAAATTGCTCCAGATCTTATTTTTAAAATTCACCTCACTCTGCTAAGTCAAATGGTTTCTATACCTTATTGATTGCAGTTTTTACAATGGTCTGTTTTTCTCGAGCAGGGACAATTGCACTGAGTTCCTGAAATATGAATTCGAAGCATAAAATTATATACCAAACTTAAGGCACAATACATTTAGTCAAAGAAACATGAAATAGAACACCAATTATTGGACTCTTATAACAACATAAACCCAAAATGACAAGCAATTAAATGGTTGGTTTAGCAAGAAATTGTGCAAAAGTACCTGCAGAGCAAGCCCCCAGTTGTTAAGTGCCTGGAACAAAAATTCTCTCCTAGTTAGAAAA